ATGAGTCCTCCCTATGTATGTGTGTCCACAAATAAATTCAAATTGGTAAATACATTGGGATGTGACATCATTTTTCTCATGTTCAAACAGCTTAGATGGATATATCGGCTTCGCATTCTCAATTATTGTGAACTAAGCTGTGTAAAAAGTCTTTTTAACCACAATAGCATTCAATCGTTGTCTAGCCGTCAAGCTGCTATGATCACCCATAATATAGGGTAGCTTGATGTACACGTCTTTCTTAAGGGCGAGTTGTAGAGTGAATCTTGGTGTTCTCACTACTTTATATCTCCTGATGAACTTGTCTGGATAACTGTTATCAACGAGAGTTTGTGTCAGCTTTCTTTCTTCCTCATCAAGTGTGTCTTCAGTGCATATTCGTTGGATTCTACTGAAGAGTCACCTCCCTAAAGATTTTTTGTACGGAACAAGACAGAAACTGTGATAATTAAGATACTGTCCTGTCCAGACAGGTTTTATTGACTCATCAAGCCGTCGACTAACCAATATGTCTAGGAAAGATAAACAATTATCTTCCTCTTCTACAAATGTAATGTGCTATTCTGAACTTCATTCATTCGCTTTAAAATTGGGGTAGCAGAACAAGGCTTATCACTTATGATTACAATATCATCTACATACCTTCTATAAATTGGCACATTTTGATTAAATCCTCCAATAAATTCTCAATTTACGACATATAAATATCTGCTAAAAGGGGCCCTAACGGACATCCCATAGCAACAGTCGCCTTCAAATAACATTGTTAGTACATAGAAGTAATAAATCCCTTAAATAAGATAAAGGGAACGGGATGCAAAAATTGTTTGTGGAAATATAATCACACAAAATGTCAACTGTTTTGAGCAAAGGCACATTAGTGAATAACGAGTTTACATCAAAAGAGGACATATTCTTATTCATAATATTAATATCATCAAGAATATTAACCAATTCAAATGTGTCTTTTAATACATACTTACAGAATTGTATTTTGACTGGATGCAATAGTTCTGCTAACCATTTAGCAAGTTTATGCGCTGACAATATATGACGTAGAGGATTATTGGGTTTATGTGTTTTTGATAAACCATACATATGCGGGAATTTACATTCTGATGGTTTTAAAACGTGTCAAATGTATCTTTACCTGTAGCATTTCCAAAGAATTGCCATTACAAGTGTAGATTTTAGATACAAATTCCGTAATGTAGAAAGCGATAATCTGTTAGTAACTAAAAGAGATTAAATAAGCAAGTTGAATGATGTAATCTGATTAACAGGTTTGAGTAGATTTCAACTAAAATTAAAATTCAACAAAAGTCAAGTTAACAAAAGTAGTAATAAGAGGTGGAGATTTAACGAGGGGTGGGGGAAGCAAATATTATACAATTAAGAAGCAAACAAGCGAGATAACGACGAAACAAAGATTACGTAATTGGTGTTAAGATAGGTCAGACCTGCTATAGATATAATGACTCAACAAACATCTTTTGTATGCAGAGTTCAGGTTTTATTAACATTTGAATTTCCATTGCTTCTGTGGTTTGAAGAAGTTTGATTTGTACTCTTTTAGGTAGATTCTCCCGTATTCTGTAGATGACTTTGAAGTTGTTTTGTGAGTTTGTTTGGTGTCCTGATTCGATGAGGTGTTCCAGAATAGACCTGAGGGGGGACCTTTATTCTCCTTTATAAAAAAGATGACTGTTGATAAAGTGTTCGATTTTACAGCTTGAGAATGATATCTCTGAAAGGAGTAACTCTTCGTTGAACACCTTTTCCTTTATATGACTCGACGGGAATTTTTAAGTTTCTATGTTTTTCATATAGTTTTCCTAATTCTATGCCCTCATCTGATGTTTATTACTATGAATATGAATCAGTTAGAAACGTAAAAATTCCATGAAAGGTTGAAGATGAAATCTATTGCAAAGTGTTTCCGAGCCCAGTATATCAAATACCACAACAGATATTCCAACTTTGTAAAAACGTTGATGAAAAACCTTTAAAACAGCAAATTTAATATCTAATATGACTACAGGATTTCTTTAAGGCCAACTACCTGAGGAAATTCAAACCGTTATTGACCTCCGCTCCATCTATTTGAGTATATCAAAACGAAAGCGTGGCGAGTTTGTTTCGCTACAACTTATATATATACGCATTTATCAGGCCATACTTCTATCAACCACAGACATGAAAGTTATGCTGTGATCGAAATTATTTAAATTGCCATCAAATTCAACCTGAACAAATAACACTTGCAGGCTTAACAAAGTTCAAAAGAATCGCTTCACTTTCTTTTGCGTCGGCATATTTTCATGCAGTAGCATAACAAAGATTATTATTTTGGGTCTCTAGAAGTTAATACGAATCTGCTACTGAGATGCACACTCAATGTAAAATTTACTTTCAACGGCACCATCTATAGACAAAAGAACGGTATTGCAGTGGGAACTTCCTTGGGTTCATTACTAGCAGACTGTTTCATGGCTTGCATTCAGAATGGCCCACTCATGTCGTTCATTGAAAATTCACATTGTATAAATAATACGTAGATGACATTTTCGTCGTTTGCGACAACAGTTACGACCAAAATCAGTTGCTAAAGATATTCAACAGCTGTCATGCGACAAGCAGAACCAGATATTCTGAGAGAAACCTTCATCCAAAATGGAAACCTGTCAAGATTCATTGACAGGAATATCAAACCAAACGTCGAGAAGAACGAAACATCACTTGCTTCCAAAAACATACTTTACATGAATCTGGATTTCAAGAGAGACTTCGCTTGTGATATCCTCAAGAGAAGAATTTCAGCAACTTTGAACAAAGTACTCTTCTGAACAACGCTCAGAGTAGTGTTCTGCAGTCACCCATTGATCTTCAGAATCCCTAAAAAGAAGATGCCGAATCTGGCCATTTCTATGTACATATATCAGTCCACGTTTTGCTGTGGAGCCGACCAGGTGCATTTGTCTTTCGACGCGTATCCTGTCCAAAAGGGTTCAAGAACACTATCCTGCATGGTTACAAAAAAGTTGAAGTGGCTGTATCAGGAGTTCGATAATCGTATATCTCGTCACCACTGGTCATCCCATCTCAACAAACGCCTCCTGCTTCAAATTAATCTACAAAGTGAAGAACAACCTACGAAGGCAATACGCTTCACCAATAATATTCATTTGATTATGATAACAGACAATAATTGTCACATACCAATGAAAATATTTTCGAATAGAACAAATAAATGCATACTAACTTTTAATTTAAAGCTTAGCGATGAATATCGACTTGTTTAGTTTAACTCCATAATTACTTCAAGAAAAATATTGTTTAGTTTAGTGTTAACTTCAACTGTTTACTACAGTCTAAATTTACGCCTATCTGTTTTATGAGTTTTATGAACTTCTGGGTTTGATGTCTATGAAATTTTCATGCTTGGTTTGTTTGTGTTCGTTTTTTGAGAACTGATAAGGTTGATGAGAAATCGTATGGTTTTATTCAAGTTAAAGAGTTCCGTAATACGATATGTTCTACCCAAAAGTACTCAATTCTAATTGTGGCGTTTGGTAGAATGGAAGGTTATCATTCTTGAATTGTTGGACATTTATCATGCTTTTTCGCCGCAGACGAACACATACGAGGACGCTCGACGTGAGTCTCTAACCCACAATCCTGAGATTAAGAATCTCATACTCTACCGACTGAGCTAGCCGGGTCGAAAGCCGGCAATACCCGGTATTCCCAGCTGGTCACCCATGCAAGTACTAATCGTGCTCAACGTTGCTTAGCTTCGGTGATCGGACGAGAACCAGTGTTTTCGACGTGGTATGGTCGCCGAAAAGATCTCGACCCCGATGGGACTCGAACCCACAGCAATAAGACTGGTAAAGAGGGAACGTTGGGCATGAGGCCAGCAGCAACCCCATCTCGTAAAAATAAATACCAGTGCTACAGAAACTTCAAGTCTCTAGCTTGAAGCCCGATTTTCCATTGGTAACGTAAAGGAATAAAAAAAATATCATGCTTTTAGTCAAGAAGTTTGCTACATGACAAGGAACTGTTTTCTAATTCGTTACAAGATATTCACCTCACGGTTGAACTGCACAAATTTCAATTACTCAAGGTATTAACAGCCATAATTTAAGATAGACAATCCAGATAACTTGAAAAATCAGAGTTAAATATCTCCATTTTAAGGCTTTTTAAGTTGACCCCTGCCATTTTTCGAGTAAAGCGTCATCATGGTAACGAAATGGAGTTTTATGGTTAGTATTTGTCGATTGGTTTGAATCTCTAAAATTAATTTAGGTTGTTTTTAAGTTGAAAATGTCGTTGACATGGCTGTCATTTTCTCGAAAGCAGCGTGTCTCTCAATGTTTGTGTTTTTCCCAGTTGCTAATATGTACGCATATAAAGGTATTGTTTGTGAATAACCGTTGTTTTGATTTCAATATAGGAGAACCCTTGTTAGTTCAGGCGCTTATATGGCATATTCATTCTTTTGAAGTGGCACCACCTGCTTCATCCAGTGAGTATTAGGGCGTTTCAGTATACATAGGTCAAAATATACACCTGCATGATTTCATGCAAAGTCGATAATACATATTTGAACTTTTGAACTTGCTGCCTCCGTTGAATGCATTAAATTGTGCAGATATCAGTGTCAAGGAAAATTTTTGCATTAAAGTGCAGCAGATGTAGCACAGTTCAGGAATGCAATGCCACAGATAATAAGTACACCAGAAAGAGGAACTTCCATGCAAAAAATTCATTTGAAAAGCGTACGACAAATATAACTTGCCAGTAAAGCATAATGGCAACAACAGGTTATGACACTACAGTTAGCGGGGCTATACAATAAAGCCATTTGTTTTATTTGAATGTTTGATGCTGTACTTCAACTGGATGATGTTCACGAATACAGTAAATTTTCCGAGTTTATTTTCCCCCATGATTTCTTCATATCCTTTTTATATATCTTCTATATATTTCAGACAACTTATGCATATTGTATACAGTTATTAGAAACATACGGAAAGTTATGTGAAGCAGATGGCAGACGGTTACCGCGTAATGTAGGACTCAGTAAAACAAGACTTTTTCGTATATGGCCAAAGTTAACAGACAGACTGCTTGAATTGCAGGCAAGAACAGAGACTGCAAAGAAGGTATATTTAACAACTGATATGGTATGTGATGGTTGAAATTCTGATGAAAATTTCTAAGTTTTCTTATGCATAATATTCCCTAATTATATTGTTCTTCTTTCTATCTTTTTGTGAAGTGTAATTATAGAATTAAATGCTTTGTGTAGTTGTATAATACTCTGAGGCGCAAGAGAGAGAGAGAGTGACATGGTTCAAGTCTAGAATATGTTCCTTGTATTTTGTTTTTACTCAATAGCTTTCTAAAAGTATATCGACCAAAACTTCGTGTTCTTGTATGATTCGACTGAGGTCGCAATAATGATTAAAGTTATTTGGTAATGAGTAGTCATTTCACTTCATTTTGTGATCCTTCAGAAATACGCGTATCTGTGTACGTTGACACCCTTAGTCTTTGTTTCTTTTCAAAATGCTGTATCTTCAAGTGCTGATTTATTCAGTTTCAAACAGCTTGTCACCAGAGAGTTAAAACAGATCGAAGAATGTCAAAGGCGAAAAGGTTTTAGCAAAACACTTCGTCTTTTAAGTAGCTTAAAAATCCCCATTGAGTCATATGAAAAAGAGAAGACAATCAGCGAAGAGACTCTTCTCGGCGAATTCATTCACATACCTGTACAGTCGTATTTAAATACAATTATTTGTGTGTGTGTGTGTACATGAGGTTTGTCAAGTTTAGATAATTGATAAGGTAATACAAGAATGATCTAATGTAGAGACAAGGTTAAGATTGAGTTAGTAAGTTAGATGACGTAATATAATTGACTAAAATGTTTCAACTTAAGTCAGGATAGCAACAGAGGTAATTGCAGATAGAGACTAAATAGAGGTGGGGTAGAGAATAATGCCATTTAAATTAGGACTAGAATTGAGCAAATTAATTGGATGAGTGTTGGTCAAGTCAGTAACAGTGGTAATGAGGTGTAGAAATTAAATCGGGTGGGGGTAGAGAACAAGAAAGTTGAAAATGTAAAATATTACAATTGAGGAGACAAAATAATACTAATGAGGTGACATAAAGAAAGAAACAGAATTTACCATTGCAAGTGTAGTGATTGAACGAACTTCTGTATGCATTGTTCAGGATTTAGCAAGTGAATTGCCATTGCTTTTGTAGTTTGAAGAAGTTTGATTCGTACACTTTTAGGAAGACTGCTTCGTATTCTGTAGACGATTTTGAATTTTGTTTGGAGTGTAGCTTCGTGTTTGGAACCTATCAGATGTTCTAAGATAGAGCTGTAGGGGCATCGTTTTTCTGCTTTGTACAACCATGCTGGTAAGTGTTTGGTGATACGTTTGGATAGCGAAGGCTAGGTACGGCCGACATACCTGGCTCCACACAAGCAGGTGAATTAGTAGATACACATTGATGAGGCCAGGAGTGGTAGCTTATCGACCACGTTCATGCGAATTATAGGGTTCGTGGGGAAGGTTAATCGTAGTTCAGCTGAGAAGAAGGTTTTCTTAAGTGAATGGGACAGTCGATTTTTCAGTGTTTCCGCGGATGAATCTTCATTGAATTATGGTTCATGTAGAGGAGTTTTTTCGAGGCGCTAAGAGTGGGCGGCTTTTGCGGTCTAGGATTCATGGATTTTGCAATAAATCGTTCTGGGTAACAATTTTCGACTTCGTCTTTTACTAGTCATCATTCAAGACTACATATCAGATTGAAAGTATGTTTAGTTGCTCTGTTGATACTTTCTGAATTCTATTGATTTGCATCATAGATGGTAATTCACTCTTTTGATCATATGTACTAGTGATTGATATGAGTATTTGAAAACGGTAGTGCTTCCTAGCTAGCCAAATTGAAACAATATCAAAACAACAGACAGGCCTTTCTCTCTCTCCCTCTTGGGTCTGATGGTGTACCCGAATAGACTTGGATCTAAGAAGTGAATCAGTTCAGTCCCTCGAATTATGACCCGCGATACAGAGAATGAAAGTTTTCCTTTGTAAATTACACAATGCTAGGTGAGGATTTGCAACTGAATTAATCCTTGTACACTGAAAATAATCTAGGTGTCAAACGAGTTGAGGGGTTGTTTGGTGGTTAGGCCATTTTGATCTTACTAGTAAGCGTTTCCTTGTTGACGTGAGAGGGTTTCAACTACTCATCACGATCAGTGTTACACGTCATCGGGCCATTTTACTTGGTTTCATTACTTGTGTTACATTTGCAATAATCGGGTTTAGCAAGCTTAAACGCCAATCCCAATAATTTTTGCCGACTGTTTATAGCACTTGTACTGTGGTGGTGTGATACAGACAACATGCGCCAACGGAATATTATTCTCACATATTCCCATAGAATATGATATATATATATACATATATATACATATGTATATATATATATATACATATATATTTGAACATTCTGTTTGATGCTAGAGACACAATACATTTCCTACAGTTATATACTGCATTAACAACAAAATACTATGTATATTTGAACATCCTATTTCATGTTGTTTGATGTAAACCAAAATCACAAGCTCAGTGATTGGCTAACGAATATAAACTGTATATATGTAAACAGCGGTTTGATTAATGGTAAATACATACACCTTTGCTTCCATGTCTCGCCTTCTGCTGTTACAGTACTACTGTGTTTAGAATGTCATCCGTTCAGTATTTTGTACAAAGTGCAGTTCAGAAATGAAGAGTGTGAGTAAATACTGAGTAAAGAATCGATGGCACATGAAGTGTTCCAGCATTTAGATAGGGAAATAAACCGGATAGATCTCTTTCTCTGCTGTCTATTTTAGGTTGTATTTTTGAATTCCTGAAAATTTAAACTCTTTGATGAAGATTTATACAATTCTAATCTATCAGACACTTGAAATATTGATTTAATCTTTTTCTGAACAGTAGTACTTTCCGACTAAATAACTGTGTTGATTCATAGGGATTTGATTGAATACAGGTACAGTCATGGACTGATATCAGTCGGAGAGTCAATGAAAACCAAAGAGTATCGGGCAGATGTTTTGTTTGAGTTCTAGTTAGAAATCGTGACTGGTGCCATCCACCAAGTTGGTTGTGAGGACAGGTGCTTGTCGATGAAACTGACTGAAAGTGGCGCTACATATTACGAGTTGGTGGAAGTTGGAGTTCATGGGTTAAAGCCTTTCTTTCCGCTAGCCGGATGGTCAGCGGGCTCGCCTGATCACCTGTAGGTCCTGGGCTCGATTCCCACTAGGGTCATGGGCACTTACTGTTGCAGACGAGGCCACAAATTGAAAAAAATTTTAAGTCAATAGCTGCAGGAGTAGAAGTGTTCATTCCCCAAATCCGGACTTAGTTTACTTTGTGGTCATGAAATAATCTCATTGGACAATTTTTCGTCCCTTGGACTAATCGCCGACTAATCAGAACAATCTGTTGTCCACTGACCTAGTCGACTTTTAATATGGTTAGAAATATATAAATATGATACGCTTTTCCTTAATAAAAACATCCGTTACCAAATCTCTTATCTTTTCCCGTCACACCGTAACTGATCTAACTTGAGATTTAACTCCAAAATCTTTCTTGCATTAATTAATGTCAACTGTTGCTTGCAATGCCTTCCCTATTTTTCATGGACGTTTTTTACATTCTGTTTTTTAGCTTCTAACTCGTGTTCAAGAATACCTTCTGGAGTTAAGCCGTAGTCCACCAATATTTGATCGTAAATGTGGTTCACCGACAACTCAGGGGATGTCACCCGTTCCAAATGATCAAAGGTGTGCACAGTTAGATAAACTGTTGCAGGAGTTCTCATCTGTCAAGATAACTGGCTTGCAGCTTATTGATAAACTTCCGAAAGGGCTATTACAAGAGTAAGTGGTTGTGATGTAAAACTCCGCACTAGGGTTTCGTTTGTGGAAACCACAGTGTGAATCGATAATTAAAAATAAAGTTTCTGACATTCAGTTTGACCTATAGAAATGGAACGAGAATATTATCACTTATTCTGTCACATATCTGTCACTCTTTTTTAAGATATAACGCCTGTGAATTGTAGTGTTCTATGTTTAAAACTGTATAGATACTGCCATTGTTAAGTGGTAATATAACAATTATCCTAAAGACCGTTATAAATATTTTCTTTTACCCAGGTATATTAAGGCATAAAGCTGCTTTTTTAGTGATTGCCTAGTATTCATTCGTTATTGGAAAGGGTTTATTGGTCCTTTCAGTGTATTCATCCTACTGATTTTAAGTTACAATGCGGTTAAGTAGCACGTTCAGGTTGTTTTATCAGACAATTTTGTTGAATTGGCTGTGTTGACACCCTCTTGCAGAAGCCTAAGGACAATGGTGTGACTGTTCAGTGTTATAAAAGTGTTTTTGGATTTTCCAATGAATGAAAAACAAAACGATATTGTTGTTCTCACTCACGTTCCGCTATTTAATGCTGCTGTTAGTAGCTCTATCAAAGTAGTAGTATTATTAAACCAGAATTTACAAAATCCACTCAGCTTGCATTATATAGCAACTTAATTACCGTTCATCAACATGGGGGTAATTTTTACGTTGCTGTCAAGTCAGGCAACTGGTAAAGATAACAAAACCAAGTGTAGATTGTTGGATTTGATTAGTGTGTTTAATTATAAAAGTAGCATGAGTTTACATTTTGAAATTGCTAATCACATTCATGTTGATTTTATCGTTTCATGGGCGACAGGAGTGTTGTAAGTAGGTCAAATTTTCTTTGAGTTCATCATTCCTATTCAGACAATTTGGATTTCAATAGTTGGTTTGTAAGGATTAGATATGTTTTTACGGGTTGATCACGGATTGATATTAGTTAGAGATGTGGTGAGAGCTGTCTACTAGCCAAAGTGGTAGACAGTAATTTACGTCAATATTTACGTTCCCAAGATTTGTCGTGAGAAAATGTGAACAAAGATTGACTTTGCGTAGGCGGATGCAGTTAACATATAGAGGATTTGACATTCAAGAAACAGTCACAAATAGATGAAAGATTAACTTTACGTGAGAAACAACCAATCGAAAGACTGTGTTTGTTTGCTTAAATATTCATAGTAATGTACATGAAAATATATAAATATGCGTTGATTTCCTTAATAAATGATCTGTTGCCTGACCCTTGCCTTCTGTTGTTACAGAGAACCACTGAAAACCAACAACAGAGTACTGGACGGCTGTTTCGTCAGCCTGATTTGGGACTGACTCTTCAGCGCTACGCACCTACTGCCAGGGGTTCGGACCCAGGGCCTTCCGGTTACAAGGCAAGCTCGATTTTTTCGAACTCTGGCGGTGGGTGCGTGCCGATGAATATTCCCAAACTAGGATGGAACAACTGTCCACGTTATATTAATGTACACATTTTTGTTAGTTTAAATGGTTTCATCGTAATGCAAATTGTTGAACTAAGCATAGTATCTTCGGTTTGGATAATAAGATTCCTTCTTTCTTCTTTTTTTGTTTTCTGAATTAATACTACAGAGATATTATAGTTAATGCACAGATAACTGATGAAGTAATTCGTGTGATACGTTTAAAACTGTATACATTATGGTTAAAAGTAAGAGAGTATGAATACGCTTTATTAGGTCGAAATTCATTGGATAATACAACAGCTAGTGAACTTGCTCCAGATTGGCGTTCTCCCAGGCTGTTATCTCGTTCATCGAATTCTACAATGCGTCGAGTAGGATCTATATTTGACGGGGATTTTAGTCCAGTTACAATGGTTTCACCCCAAGTATCATCCGTGCAAGAAAGAAAGAATCGACCTGGAAATCCGCTAGCAAATGAGTTGTGCAATCATAATGGTTCAGAACAATCAGATGATAAAGGACAGTGTGATCCTGTTGATCGACAACACTATTCTACATATCAGATGAAACAAAGCAGTGGAAGTTATATGATGAGAAATTCTAACATACTACTACAACCAGCTGAAAAACCTGTAAAAGCAGAACCTTCATCATTCAACCCTTTTGTACCAGACAACCAAAGAGAAATCAATAAAAGTAATGAGGGATTGAAACCTCAAGAAAAAGTGAATGGTCATGTGTCGAATAATCTTTTACATTCGGTAAGAATGTCTCATTTTCTTTTTATGTGCGAGTGTCTGTGTGTATGACTTGCTGTACGATTTTGATCACCTTTCATTATTTACATTTCTTAGCTAAGATTATCTATCGGTTAATTACAGACTGATCGAAATCTCCCGGTTACTTTGAAACTAGTAACACTTTTTGGTTTTTGCATTCGTATTTCTGAAGGAGTTCTATTATCTTTTGCACTAAATATTTTGTACCTCAAGGTAAGATTCAAATGACAATAAAAGGAGTGCAGGGAATATAGTTTAGGCAATTTTAGAGGAAATCAAAGACATTCAAGTGGATGAGAATGAAATAATGGTGTCCTTTGATGTCACAGCATTATATACTTCAGTTAGTCCAAAACTAGCAAAATAAACTATGCAACAACTACTCTATAGTGATGAAAACACAACTTAGATAGAACTCATAGAATTATGTTTTACAACATTCTTCCAATTCAATAATCAAATATACTAACAGATAAAAGGAACACCAATGGGATCGCCCATATCAGGATTAATAGCTAAAGCCGTCATGCAAAGATTAGAATCAATAGCTCTACCTATAATTAAACCAAAAATCTGAGTACGTTACGCTAGTGGTATATTCGTAACAATTAAAAGAAATGATTTGGAATACACCCACAGATTAATAAACAACATATTTGAAGACATTAAATTCACCACGAGAGAAGAAGAAGAGTTAGATGACAAAGGTCCACCTTTGGATGTGTTAATGAAAAGAACTAACACAGAAGACGCAAATGAAATATTGTTGGTCTTTCCATATGTGCCACCAATAGTCATCAGTCCGCTGGATGTCCAGTGGGATAACTATTTGAGTATGTTTTGTAGTTTTTAGGCAGCCTTAATGCTTTATTTGTCACAAAAATAGGATAATTTAGATTGTATTGATATGTTTCAATATCTATAGATATCAAATGTCATATGTTCTATTTATCGACGAAAGTGTAAACTGTTTCAGATATTTTAATTCAATTTTTGAATTTCCCCTGCGATTGATTCAACCCAAATGCTCGGTCTCAGGTTGACATGTCGGTTCCTTGTGCAGATGCTTCGACAATGTCTGGTTATGTAACTTGAAGTCGATTGGTGGATGTTGACTAGCAGTGGAATCCAGGACAATGTGCATTTCGTCCCATTTGGGACTCGTCAGCCAGTGGGGGTATCTACATTCCCCAGTGAGTCGGTGATGGTGTCGCCACCAAGGCTCGAACTTGTCACCCATAGTTTCGAACGCCAAAGTGCTATCCACTAGGCCACTTGGGCCACAAGAGCCACCTCTAGTCCATTGACGAGTCCCAAGTAGGACGAAACGTGCACTGCTAGTCACCATCCACCAATTGACTTCAAGTTACATGATCAGACTTCATCGAAGCATCTGCACAAGGAGCCGATATGTCAACCTGAGACCGAGTGTTTGGGTCCAATCAATCGACGGAAAAATCTAAAATTGAATTAAATAATTGATAAGACCCGTGTTGCACAAGAGACAGTGGCTCTTGTGGCTCAAGTGGTCTAGTGGATAACATTTTGGCATTTGAAATTATTGGCACTGGGTTTGAGCCTCGGTGGACACACCATCACTGACTCACTGGAGAATGCAGGTACATCCACCAACTGGCCAGTCCCAAATAGGACGTATTATAGATAGTGTTCGATGATAAAGATAAGTGAACTAATGGAACGCATTGTATACGCTTTTGTGTTACGCTTTGAAGTTTAAAAAAAGTTTGAATAATGTGTTCAGTCAGGATTCTATTAGGTCATATAAGGAATAAGATCCCGATCTTGCACACTAATGTCAATACAGTGCTTCTATATAGTTCACAGACTTGGTAAGTCACGAAAAGCATTTCCATCAGATCACTGCCAACTATCATCAACAGCTGCCTCAGCTCAATACTGAAGATCAAGTGGTCAGAAAGGAAAAGCAACATGAAACTCTGTCAACAAGTAAATCAAGAACCTACCGCCCAACAAGTATGAAGAAGAAAATAGAGATGGATTGGATATACGCTGGGGAGACCATTGAGTGAAATCGAACGCCACGTCGTGGAGTAGAACCCGGATGACAGGAGACGAGTTATGCATTGATCCGAGTATGATGTGGACATAAATCAGCCGTGAAAAGAATCGACATGTTGTATTCTCGCATATTGATGTATGTGAACAATTACGAACACCAATATTGTCGGGAGAATGTAGAAATTTCAGAGAGAGAGGAAACGTCAACAGTTTGAGGCAATTTCTAGAAACCTGATATTCAGATGAATCAGTGACTAACAAAAAACACTACCACAGATCGCATTTACCAACTAGTAAAAAATAAATCGCATGACAAGAAAGTTCGAATCCCAAGTCAATAAAATTAATCACTAGAGATGTAAATTAATGGCCAATGGCGATACTGATTGTCAGGAGATACAATCACATCACTTACGAAGAATTCAAACAAGTTCAATTTATATTAAATTTCGCACTGAAGACGTTGTCTAGATGGACAATGAAGTCTTCGCAATCAAATCGACCAACTCAGAAAATATATTCGAATCAAATATTAACTCGAATTCGATTGTAATTAGAATTTGGTTTACTCAAAGCTTCTTTCTTTCTTAATGGTACTCTGAACAAGGTTGTCCTAGGATTAGGCAATTCATTAAGACAATGAAGATATAAGCCAGATGAAGATACTAAGGTGTAGTCGGTTCATTTCAAAATTTGAATTTAGTTAGAGATTACAGACCTAATTGACCATGTGTAACCTTTGCAATTAATAGTGTTCTCTGAGCTGGTTGGTTTAGTTGCGGAGCTTTCGTCATCCTTCTGGACAACATCTTCAGCGCAATATTTATCTCAAAGTGAAATGATTTAAATTTCTTCATGAGTGATATAACTGTGTCTCCTGGTAACCATCTTTACATATGTATTGACCATTTTCTATTGACTTGGATTTTAAACTTTTTGGTCACCTGATTTAATTTTTATTAGTTGGTATATTTCGTCTATATTAACGTGCTTGTTAATTGCATTTTCGTTTGAGTACCAGGCTTCTAGGAATTCCCTGGCACTTTTGGTGTTTCCTCTGTCTAAGATTTCAACATCATCCCAATCAAATTGATGACCATAATTGTCTATATTCATTGATACTAAAGAATATCTATCGTGTCTTTTTACGGCTGATTTGTGTTCTTGGATTCTAATTCGAAGGGGACGCCCACTTTGGACGATGTAATGCTTGTTACAGTTCATACAACTTATTTTTTAAATTGTATTAATTTTATCCCTTTTTCTGTTGGATCTTTCGGTTTGCATAATATCGAATTAAGCGATTTTACTGGTTTGTGTGCTATATCTATATCTAACGGTTTCAGTATTCTGGCTGTTATTTCAGAGATATTCCTCATGTATGGTAGAATGAATTTTCTTGTGGTCTTTGAAGATGGTTTCTTGTTAGTGCTTTGATTCGACTTTAAACACTTTTTGATTAAATTTTGTGGATAACCATTCTTTTTGAAGACCATATTTAGGTATTTTTCTTCCATTCTTTTCAACTCTGGAGTGCTGCAATGTGTTTGAACTCTTTTAAACAACGTCTACACAGTTTCGTTTGTGAGTAATTGGATTATTGCTAGTAAAGTTGAGTATTTAATCTGTGTGCGTTGATTTTCTATATACTTGTGTTTCTAAATCTCCTGTGTTGGTTCTCCTGATTAAGACATCTAAAAATGGGATTTTGTTATCTAATTCTTCTTCTCTTCTGAATGTGATGTCTTCAAATATGTTGTTTATTAATCTGTGGGTGTATTCCAAATCATTTCTTTTAATTGTTACGAATATACCACTAGCGTAACGTACTCAGATTTTTGGTTTAATTATAGGTAGAGCTATTGATTCTAATCTTTGCATGACGGCTTTAGCTATTAATCCTGATATGGGCGATCCCATTGGTGTTCCTTTTATCTGTTAGTATATTTGATTATTGAATTGGAAGAATGTTGTAAAACGTAATTCTATGAGTTCTATCCAAGTTGATAGTTGCGTTTTTATGTTTTCATCACTATCGAGTAATTCTTGCATAGTTTCTGTTGCTAGTTTTGGACTAACTGAAGTATATAATGCTGTGACATCAAAGGACACCATTATTTCATTGTCTTATACTTGAATGTTTTTGATTTTCTCTAAAAATTGGATTGACGAATTGATAGAATGGTCGCATGATTCTGTTAGGTAATTTAATTTCCTGAAAAGTTCTTTAGATAGATTATATGTTGGTGTTCCTGGAAGTGAAACGATTGGTCATAAGGGAATATTTGGTTTGTGTAGTTTCGGTCTACCATAGAATCGAGGTAAAATAGGTCCGTTAGATTTCATTCACCATTGATCTTGTTCTGTAATTTGTCCTGATTTCGTAACCTTATTATGTCACCCACTAGCGTTTTAATCAGCAGAGGTTGACTGTAGTTAACAGAATAATTTCAGTTTATTAAAATAAATAATTATTTTGATACATCCAGATTAAGACAACTGACGAAGTTGTTTCCACACGAGAGAAATTCATGTCATTTATCGTAAACTGTCTTCTCTTATTTCTTCAGTTTAAATGTCGATTGGCAGATTTAACAAGGAACAATCTGACACGTGATCCTGGTAATACAGTAGCCGATGCCGAATTCACCATTAATGAACTTGATCAGTCTAAAATTGAAGCTTATAAATATTTCGATGAAGTGAAAAGTCAGTTGAATTCATCTCACAAAGATAATCAATCTAACGCCAAGTTATCAAATCAGAATATTCTTACAGAAGCAAAATATCTTCTTGACGATTGGACTGCTGATTGGGTTATACAACGAGAGAACCTGAGCTATCGACTTGCATTTTTAAATCGTTTAGGCGATTTACAAACAGATTTAGGCGAGTGTATTTCACGTTTAGATCAGTTGATAAAAGCCACTTGTTTGTCTGTTAATTCAGCGTCTTCATCTTATACAAATCAACAGAATTCAAATTTATTAAATAAGCTTGGAGGAACAGTTTTATTTGACTCTGAGATCTATCAGCTGAATACTATTAATGAAGAAGTGAAAGGAATGTTACAGACTATACCGGTAATTTTGTTTACTTTACTTTAAACGTTTGTATATTTATGTTTTATATCGTGTTTCGATTGAATACAGACAATTACTTGTAGTGCTCTATGATGACTTTTTTTACTACTTAGTTCAAAAAGAGACAAAAGGATTAATCTTGAGAGTCGAACTGGTATAACCCAATGAAGAGAAGATTGGTGTTCATTTTAAATATCTTCCAGTTTTAATGAGACACAAAATTGTAGTTCAGTTATACGAATATTGAACCTCTGATTTTTTAATCAGTCACACCACATTGAACAGGAAATATCAGTTACTTGAACATCCCCATTGAGTCGTTTAAAAGAAAAGACGTTCAACGAAGAATTACTCCTCTTCTCGGCGATATCAATCTCAAGCTGTACAATCGCATATTTATATACTAAATTATCTTAGCACAAAAATGAATATTTACAAAGATTTGTCATTAGAACTGTAAATTTTAGATAACAAATCCCGTAATGTAGAAAGCGTTAATTGGTTAGATAGTGAAATAAAATTAAATAAGTAAAACTGAATGACGTAAGTAATATAATTGACGAGGTTGAGTAGAATTCAACTAAATTGAACAAGAGTTAGGTTAACAACAGCAGCGTTCGCTATCCAAACGTACCATGGAACACTCACCCTGACAATTTTATAACGGAGGAAACAGATCCCCCTGCAGCTTTATCCTGGAACACCTGATCGAACCTGGATATCAAGCTAATCGACAAAACAAACTTCAAAGTTATTTACGGAACGCTCGAGAATCTGGCTAAAAGAGTATGAATCAAACTACTCCAAACAACAGAAGTAATGACAATTCACGTGTTAAATTCTGAACTCTGCCTACAGATGTTTGCTCAGTCACCAAATCTTCAATGGACCTCATCTGTCTAAACACCGGATACGTATTTTTTATTGTTGGTTCTAAAGGTACTATTTTCTTCCCTCGCCCTCTACTAAATTTCTACCCCGTATTACCATTCTTGTTAACTTGACTCTTGTTCAATTTTAGGTGAGCTCTTCTCGACCCCGTCAATTAGATTACGTCACACAACTTACTTATTTAATCTTATGTTAGTTTCTACCCGATTGACGCTTTCTGCATTACGGGATTTATATTCTAAAATTTGCAATTCTAATGACAGATCTCTGGAAACATTTCTTTTGTTGCTAATATAATTTACTATAACTCTGGTGTCTCCTCATTTGCGGATAAATCCTCCACCTTTTACTAAAGATTTCCGTGGAGTGGCACAATACAATGAGTCTTACCTCATTTTTTCAGCTCTGTCTTTGGACAGAGTATTTGCGCGTCGGTGGCACAGTGGTTAGGACTCTCGCCGACCATGCACATGGTCCGGGGTTCGATCCCCTGCCGACGCACACCTGATATCTATGGTCAGCCTGCAAAATTTGGGCTACCGATATCCATGCTGAAAATGCCATACTTGTACTGAAAATACGGTGTGGCATCAAGCTGTAATCAAAAATAAATAAATAAAATAAATATATTTATATGCGTTTGTACAGCTTGAGAATGATGCCGCCGAAAAGAGGAGTAACTCTTCGTCGAACGCATTTTTCTTTATATAAATATCATTTATGTTTCTAGAAGGTGCATCCTGCATTCTGCTACATAAACATGTACAGATTTGCTAAAATATATAGAAATCGTAGGATATAACAAATTGTAGCTTAAGAATAACAACCCATTTTCAAAGACAACACTCATAAACCCCATCCCTGCGAATTAGCGCATTCAAATCTTGTAGCCACGAAAAGATAGCTTAAATATTATTGGTTTAATGTTACTATGTTTTACAGACTTCAGTCGAGATTTTCATAAAAGATTGGAACAAGATTGTTTAATCCTTTATTCGCACATTTAACAAACTAAATGCAGTTTGCTAATGTAAAGCCATAATTGTTTATTTATTGTGATATATCTCCCTATTTGTCGCCTTTTTTTATCAAATCCAAGACATGTAGCATGTACGCATGAGAGTGGCTTAAGTGATACGGAAATTTGTGTGTGTGCTATCGATTTGATTATTCTGACTCAAGAATGTTTAGAGAGATGAATTTTAAATTTATTTGTCACTGGTAATATTGTCGCAACAGGTGGGACTGTGATTTGTGGTCCAGACACCCGCCTTTCAAACATGTAGTCACAAGTTTGAGCCCCGTTTCACCTATCATCACAGAACAGTTGTGACACTTTTGTCAACTGCATGTAAATGCATATCTGACTGATTTTCATCGTAAAACAGAAGTGCACAAAAGTGCAGCAGTTCAAGTTGTCATAATCCACATCGTGGACAAAGATAAAGAGAAAGAAGGAAATTCGGAAGAACTGTCATCAGCCGAAAAGTACAGGAGACAGAATAATTACATAGAAGAGCATAAGGACTTAATGAATCTCAGGAATTACAAGGAAATGAATGTATCTGTGTCACTGATACTATTCGAAATGTCGACCTACTGGTTCTCAGCATCTCGCCGACCCAAATCAGGCAGTCAACACCCGTCTCCCTATGTGGCTCAAACTAACAGGTAATGACTTCATGGATTGATGTAATGTTTTGATTTGACCACCCCCACCCCAACGTTTTTGCAACCTAATCCTATGCCAGTTAACATTGCTGGGTAAGGAAGGTAGTGGGTTGGAGTGAGTAACACGTCTCTTGGCCGTCTCAATCGATATAGCTTCACAACCTCACCAGTTGACTAGCTCTCCATACCTAAGATTCTCCACCTAAATGCACATTGTTGTTGGGTTGTATTTCAAGTTCGATCACACTGGAAGCTAAATACATACACATCGTGTGTTAACCTTGAACTGGACAAAACACATCTCTCTCTGTCTTTATATCAAAGTGCTGAAAAAAAAGTGTTACCATACTAAAACCAAAAGCAACATAGAAACATCTGCTTAAGAGACACGCTTTTCATCATTCAAGTGAAAATAAACGATATTTTACACTGGTCTGTTGAATCATGGATACTGTTTGTAACATAATTAATAAAGCTGTAAAGTGTCACAGTCAGGTGTAGACATTGTGTCTGCTATCAAGGTTGAAACTGTCGTTTTGTTCTTTAGAATTCATAAAGCTAACACCATTTTTTTGTTTAACTTTTGGGTCATTGACAAAGTTTACAAAAAGCCAAAGCAATTAAACAACTACGCATAACCTCAAATAGTAGCATGAAATCAATAAATACCTGTTCCTAAAATGTAAGCTGAACAAATCATTGATCTGCAATTAAAACTGACAGTCTCTGAGAGACAAGAGAGAGATTTATACTACTATACTGGATAGATCATTTAAGTCAGTTTGTATTTTATGAATAATCATTGATCAGTTTATTATTTCTATGCAAAGTAATTAAACCATCACTATCTGTTCTACTGAATATCCTTCCTCACAGATTACCTTTATGTGTATACATAACTAAGCTGTTCAGCTCTTACAGTAAACGAAATATTTCAATGAGTCATTTTAGGAGCCTAATTAATGACTTGTGTACAGGATTTTCATCATGAGAACCATTGGAAAACCTTGGAGTACTGGACAGCTGTTTCGTCCTAGTTTGGGACTCTACATCAGTACGCACCCACCGGGATTCGAACCCAGGACCTTCTGGTTGCAAGGCGAGCTCGCACACCATTAAGCCACTGGGACCCGATCCAATGGTCCGTGAATTCTAACTTCTGCCAATTCACGACATAGCGCGACCCTTAGCCAATGTCTTCGGCGAGTATTTGTCCTCACACCCGACCTGCTGAACCCTACTGTTCACGACTTCTCACTAGAACCCCAGGTAACTACCTACCTGAATAGGGCAAGTCGCTAGTGAGCACCTCATTGATATTCAAGTGTTGGTTTGTGAAAATCCTGCAACCAATCAAATCCCTACAAACCAACACTTAAATATTAATGACTTGTGTATTCGACGGGAGTACATTTTATGATGTATGAGGGGAGTGGATATCAAGGAGTTATTTTTAGGCGAAATATTAATGAGTAGTACAAAATATTCCTCTAAAATGAATCATAAATTTATCTTTTTTTTGTATGTCACAATCCAGTTTGGTGTGTAGTTGTTGTGCTCTGGTAATGAATGATGTACCTTTCTTCTTGTAGACCGATTATGATAAAAACATTACCCATATAAACTTACTAAACTGCCAAGGGAGAACTGCAAAATTAGTTCACATTTTTCGATTTGTTGGTGGTGCATTGTGGTGGACCTGATTATGCGCCGCCAGACTGTGAACAGGGAGTGAGAAGACAGGAATAGGTTGAACTGACGGATGATCAGACTCTCGAAGATGTAGATTTCGCGAGTGGATGATTTATGTTTAAAATCACACGAACTCGAAGACTTGCAGGCAGGTAGGCAGGCAGGCGAAAACCAACAAACTAGATGAAGAGGCTAGCTGGAGGTGAAGACAGGACTCCAGTTGAACATAGAGGAGGTGGAGGCGGAGGTGATGTAGACAACCAACCAACCAACCAACTACAAACAGCAAAAATGACCAGCACCATTCACTATCAACGGGAGAGTTTCGACAGAGGTTACCTCTTTCACTTATATACCTAGGCACTACGGTTTCAACCACAGGCGGACAGCACGGATAAAGATGTCAAAGTCAGTCAGCCAGCGAGAATCTGAAAGGTAACATACGCCTTCATCAAGCTGAAACCAATGTGGAAATCATCTGCACTCCACCTCAGCATCAACATCAAGATTCGGATTTTCAACACAAATGTGAAGTCAGTCAGTTACTTCTTTTATATGGGTGAGAAACATGCACTCCGTGCCACGGGAAGAATTTCCAACAAGTTACAGACTTCTATCGACAGCCGCCTTCGCTGCATACTAAAGACCAAAGAGTCAGAGAGAAGAAGCAACAAGGAACTCTGGCTGGGAACAAACCAACAGGTGAGAGCCGATTGCACAGCGAATATCTAGGAGAACATGGAGAT